GGGGTGGGGAGGTAACGGGACGGGCGCTACCATGGCGCGGTGAGGGAGCGGGGGTGGGGATCGGTCCGGGGGAGGCCTGGGGCCGCTGGCTTGTGCGCCGTCTCGGCCGCCCCCCCTTTCGCCGCCGCCGCCGCCGCCGCCGCCGCCGCCGCCCCGGGCATGTCGTCCAACTGCACCAGCACCACGGCGGTGGCGGTGGCGCCGCTCAGCGCCAGCAAGACCAAGACCAAGAAGAAGCATTTCGTGTGCCAGAAAGTGAAGCTATTCCGGGCCAGCGAGCCGATCCTCAGCGTCCTGATGTGGGGGGTGAACCACACGGTAACCAGCTCCCCCGCGCGCGCCCCTCCGAGCGCGGCACCGCGGCTCCCACGCCCCCCGCCCTCGCCACGGGGGCCCTGCCAGTGACGCTTGCAACCCCTAGCCAAGCCACTTGCACGCCCACCCCACCGTTGCACGGCGTCCCGGCCGGGTGTGCACTCCCGCGCACCACGCGAGGCCTGGTGTCTCCGACGGTGGTATGCTGTCGCCTCCTCTTCCCTCCAGCCCCTCGAGCTTCCTGCGTCTGGTGTGCTCGCTTCGGGCGGCCCCTGGAGCGCAGAGGGAAGGCCTGGGTGCGGTGGAAGCGCTTTCATCCCCTCTGCCTCTCTTCTCTCCTCACCCCCTTTGCTGCATGGGTTTCCCCCTCGTTCCTCAGAACCGGCTGCCAGCTCACTGTCCAGTTGACAGGGCAAGTGGCATCGGCCTGCCTGAATGTTCCTCTGTTGCTGGTCGTTTGGTTGGTGTGGCTGCTCAAAGTTTCCCATCCTCCAGACCACCTTACCCCTGACTATGGAAATCCTCTGTGGGTTTCCTTTTTTCTTCTTGAACAAGATGTATCAACTGGAGAAGCACAGGCTTCCTTGAAACACAGACACTTTACCAGGGTCTTCTTGGGTTAGGGAGAAGAGAGAATGTAACCATTTGAGAGAAGGTGAGCCCTGATTATAGGGAGGACTATTCATAGTAGAAATAATGTGTCTTCTTGCATTCTCCTATGGTGTTCATGTCAAAGACGTTGACTTCTCATTTATTGAGCTTTCTATTGAATGGTCATGAAGGGTGTGAGAATGGATAGTGATTAGGATGAGAAAGGTCCTCTGGATCCTTGTGGTGCTTTGAGATTGTCTACAACCCCAGTCAGGAAGTTGGAGCCTGGCATACTGTTTCAGCTGGATGACTTTATGTGCTGTTTGTTGAGGGTTTTGCTTCTTCCTCCTCCAATCACTTGCTCCTTGCCTTCTGACCATTTCATTGTGAGTTCCTACACCAGGAATGAGCAGAGGAAGTAAAAGGACCTGAAACACCAACTTCACCAACTAAAAGTTTGGAAAGAGGAAGATGAAGCTGATGGCTTGGGTTTCCTGTGGATTTCAGTTCTTTAGGCTCCCTGACTTTCCTGAGTGCTTGAAATTGCTGGCAAGACCAAGTGATGACAAAGGGGGCCTGGGGCCAGCAAGACTTTTTGCTTTGCTTTGGTAGAGGGACCTTTGGCTGGAGATTGATAAACTGTAGTCTGAGCCAGGATTTTGGATCTTTTATCTCCAAAGCACATGGGTATGGTGAAGTGTTTGTTGGTTTCTTGGTCTTGGGTAGGTTACTGTTTTCAGTTACCTCACTGAAGTGAGGGTCCTGGCCAGGGTAGAGAGTACCATTGGTTTAGTGCCCAGACCTCTGGGAGCTGCTTCAGGCCAATAGTCCAGCAGAGGTTGTTCCTCCTGCTTCCTCCTGCCTCAGAGGTCATCTGACAACACTGCAAGGGAAACTGGGTCATTAAAATGTGAACTCTGTGTCCCTGTCTGGAAGCCACTCCTTGATTTTGTTCTGCAGCCTGCCTCTCACCTGAAAGCATCCTGTCTGTATAAAGAACTAGTAGAGGTCCGAGAGTCAGGAATATTACAGCTTGCTGGAAGGGACTTTGGGTCCCTTATTGTATACGTGAAGAAATGGAGGCCTCTGGTGGAGGATTAGCTCACCTATGGCCACAGCAAAAGATGCAGCTCATTGTCCAGCACTGTGGGCTGTGTTGTCCAGTGGTGGTACTTGAGTGGCTGGTCTCGTTTTCTTTGCCTCCCATTCCTTGTTCTCTCTCTCAGCCAAGTGCCAGGATAGATGGGAATTATGGTCTTGTTAGAGAACCTGAATGTGTGCTCAGGTGTGTGTGCCTGTGCATGCCAGTTCCCAGGAGTGTATGTGGTGCTTGGTTTTCTGATAGGCAGGCAATGAGTCTGCCCAGATGTGGGCATCAGATGGAAGCCTCTGGATGGGAGATGGATAGGTATCTTTGATTCCTACTCTCTTCTGACTAGGTGGTCACTTTCTTTCTTTGCTAACATTAAGAAAGTTTGTTTGAGGGCTAGCTGGAAAGGCGTTGACTTTAAGCAAGACCCATACCTCTGGGCATAATGAGCAAGTACCTCAGGGGAAATGCACTGGGCACCACTGCCCTGGACAGGCCGAGCTTCAGAGGTCAGTTAGTCCCAAGTCTTATTGCTTCATCTTGACCTGCAATAAGGTCTAGTACTTAAGCGTCCTCATCTGGGAAATGGAGGCATCTCCCCAGAAGAAGATTGTGAAATCTTGCAGTGTTCTAGGTGTTAGGACCACATTATTCTCGGTGGATTGCTAGCCTTTCTTGGAGGTTACCTTCCTTCAGAAGCCCGCTATTGCAACTTTTTTGCCATTTGAGGTTTCAGATACCACCTTTTCTTTGATTCTATAGATTCTCACCCATTTAGGCATTTGGACCAAGGTGGTCTATGGCTGATGATGTATCAGATATGAAGGATGGGTGTATCTTTATAGCAGAAGTCAGTTACGCTCTAATGAGGTGGTTAATTTACTTCTGGGTGGAAAAAGAGAGGCCTTGGAGCTCAGTGTTGTCATAGGAGCTCATCTGGTGGACGAGAGATGCAGCTCCTGGACTTTGTGGAGGAGGACTGTGTAGGCAGGGAGAAAAATCAGAAGACTTTGAATCTGTCAGGGGAGAACTAATAAAGAGAGAAAACCAGTGTTTTCGTGGATGAAATATAGTTCAGAGGGTCTGGAGTTAGGAAAGAGATGGCCTTGGAGAGGGGCATGGAGACTGGAGGAGGCAGACCTGGCTTGATAACCTGTTGGCCATTTTAGGAACCAGGTACATGTGAAGCCTCACCCAGGCGATCAGAAGGAATAGGAGCAGTTGATGGTAACTGTGTTTAACCATTTGGGAAGCTGTCAGACTGTTTTTCAAAGCGACTGCACCATTTTACATTTCCACCAGCAGTGTGTGGGGGTTCCAATTTCTCCACAGCCTTGCCAACACTTGCTATTGTCTGTCTTCTTTATTATAGCCATCCTAGTGGGAGTGAAGTATTATCTCATTGTGATTTTGACTTGTGTTTCCTTGATAACCAATTATGTTGAGCATCTTTTCATGTGCTACTTGGCCATTTGTGTATTTTTATTGGAGAAATGTCTATTAAGATCCTCTGCCCATTTTTAAAAAAACTTTTTTGCCTGTTTTTCAATTAGGTTGTTTGTTTATTATAGAGTTTTAAGAGTTTTTTTATGTATTTTAGATACAAGTCCCTTATCAGGTATATGATTTGCAAATCTTTTATCCACACACACATTCTTTGGGTTGTCTTTTTCACTTTCTTGATGGTATATTTTGAAGCTCAAGTTTTTAATTTTGATAAAGTCCACTTTATCTATTTTCTTTGGTTGCTTGTACTTTTGGTGTCATATCTAAAAAGACTTTGCCTAACCCAAGGTCAGGAAGATTTACTCCTATATTTTCTTCTAAGAAAAACTCTTACAGTTTTAGCCCTTACGTTTAGGTTGGTAATCCCTTTTGAGTTAATTTTTGTGTATGGTGTGAGGAACAGATTCATTCTTTTTTTTTTTTTTTTTTTTTTGTGAGGAAGATCAGCCCTGAGCTAACATCCATGCCAATCCTCCTCTTTTTTTTGCTGAGGAAGACCGGCTCTGAGCTAACATCTATTGCCAGTCCTCCTCTTTTTTTTCCCCAAAGCCCCAGTAGATAGTTGTATGTCATCGTTGCACATCCTTCTAGTTGCTGTATGTGGGACGCCGCTTCAGCATGGCCGGAGAAGTGGTGCGTCGGTGCGCGCCTGGGATCCGAACCAGGGCCGCCAGTAGTGGAGCGCGCGCACTTAACCGCTAAGCCATGGGGCCAGCCCCCAGATTCATTCTTAAGTCTGCTCAGTTCTCTCTCATTCCACCCCTATTCTGTCCACTCATTTTCTTTGCTTAATGCAGACCCAGAACCTCCTTTACCTTCCTTTTCCTCTTGCCCTGCTACTTTACAAATCTTTAGTAAATATTCCCACACTAGTGAGGCCTTTGGATGAATTTGTCCTTTGGCAGGCCTTCCCACCTCACACAGAATGGTGGGACTCATGCAAGAGGAGAAGAAGCAAGGTGCAGAAAGGAGGAATAAAGCCAGGGTGGATTTGTTGGCACCTGTGGCTCGCTGTCCTTGCCCTCTTCCTCTCTGGAGTTTCATGTCTTGCTTGGACCTCCTTGGTCTCAGGAGTGTGTTTCCCAACACCTCATGTTTTCTGGTGGCGGCGGGTAACAGATGATTGTCAGTGGAGCCAGCCCATTGCTGAGCCACCCATGGAACCCCCAGGACATGTCAGGAAGCCTGCATGCCCAGCCCATGCCTCCTGGCTGGGATTCCTATGAAGGTCACACAGAGAAGTGGAGGCTTCTGGAATCAGAAGTTCACCAGACTAGAACTAGTGACTGAATTTTCATCTCCAGTAGGATCAGCATAGAGTGAACTCTCTGCCCCTAAGTTGTTGCTCACTCAGCTGGTTTAGCCTCCTTATTATTTATGCTAATGGCTCATGGAGTTAATCGTGTGGATAATCCAAAAACCACTTACATGACGTGAGCTACAACAGCCTTAGCATCCTAATATGTTGCATTTCACATGATATTTGAATGAGTTTGCATTCCACAAGTGCACTTCTGCTGAAGGTGAAAGAGATTGGCCCAGAAATGTGCTAGATAATGAAGGAAAGGCACATCTTCCTGAAACATTGCTTTAGTCACGACCGTTCATGCTCCAGAACTTTTAGTCACTCCCCTTTGTCTACCGAATAAAGTTTATTCTTCTCTCCCTGGCATTTGAGACTCTTTATTGAGGTCATAGCCTCAATAGCTGACATTAATCTTTCCCATTGTCCAGATCATGAGCCTTTGGCATTGTCACACCAGCTTTGCTGTCTCTTTTCTCTTTATCCTCGTGTTAGCCATCCTTCAGTGCCCTTTTCCTAGCCATCCATCCCTCCATCCAACATTTATTGTGCAACTACTATGTGACAGTCATTGTGCCAGGGACATAAAAATGGGTAAGATAATCCCTTCCTTCTATGGGCTCACAGCTTAGTGGAGAAATCAGACATGTAAACAAATAATTACCTAAGTGAATGTGATATCTAGAATATAAAGATGCACAGAGGAATGAGTAATTAATTCAGCCTGGGGGAGACAGGGAAGCTGTCACAGAGGAAGTGTCATTTAGCCAGATCCCAGATGATTCTCTTAGTTTTATCCCTTCTTCTATTCTTGCTGCCACAGCCTATCACTTGAACTATTGTAATGACCCCATAAATGGTCTTGCTGCTTCTTAATCTTGTCCTTTCCAATCCTTACTTGATTTTGATTCCAGAGTTACATTTCTGTATCACTCATCTTCTCATGTTAATTCCCAGACTTGAACCTGAGAGAACTTCCCATTGCCTGCATAGTCAAGTCCAAATTTATCATAGAGTGGACAAACCTAAGTTCAAATCCAGGCTCTGCCCCTTAGTATAGCTTTGTAGTAGTAATTTTCCTGAGCCTCCTTTTCTTTTCCTATAAAATGAGCATAACACTTTCCTTCCAGCTTATTTGGATAGAAGCAAGGAATGGAAAACACTACCTGGGTCAAGGTAGCTATCCGTAAGAAGGATTGCACAACACATATACACCTGGGAACACATATTGTCTGTGTGACCTTGAGCAGGGTGCCCTGAACCTCTTGCAAAATCAGATTAATAATACTTTATGTGACTATTAAGTATTAGAAATAATAGCATAGAACAGAATATATATGATATGTATAATGTATAAAATATAATAATGTAAAGCACTGGCCACTTAAAAGCATTCAATAAATAAAAGCAGCTGTTATTTATTAATATTGATAATATGCTAGGCCGTTGACCTATCTTTCCTGTATTATCTCCCTTCACTCCTTTGTACCTCTGTCCTACCCTGCTACCCTCCAGACTGCCCACTGCCCCCCGGGCCTGTCCCGCCCCCCATACCTGAAATAGGCAGTACACTTTCACAACTCTGAGGCTTGGTTCTGACTGTTCCCATGGCCTGGGATTCCCTTCCTCTCATTTTTTTGAGAACTACCATCCTTGGCCTTTCTCACATGTATTTCTCTATAGCCTCTTCTAGCAACCAGCTCTCTCACTCCCACTCAGGCAGAATCAATCATTTCTCAGTCTGTTTTTCCATCTCCCTTTATTCATAACTCTATAGCACTCATCACATTGTATTAGTTATTTGTTGTTTGTCTTCCCAGCTAAACAGAGACCATGTCTTTTCGTTCTTGTATCCCCAGCTTCTGGCACGGTACTGGCATGTAGTAAGGCCCTCAATACATTGAGTAGAAGTAAACTGAATAGAAGTTTGGCAGAGTCTGAGCAAAATCAGAAAGAACCTTAAATGCAGGCTAAGGAGTTAAAACTTTACCCTGAGGTTGATGAGGAGCCGTGGAAGACTTTTAAGCAGGGGTGTAACATGATCTTGTTGTGGATTCTTCCAGTGTTGAGTGCTCTTGGCAATACCAGGAGGGGCATTAGGTGCCCTGTTTCTAGCCTGATGTGTGAGGGCCAGGAGTCTGACTCTCTGACCATACCATACCCCTTACCCTCTGAACCTCTGCTGTTCTCGATGTCTCTGTCCCTGTGTTCTCACTTACTTGTGTACCACCTGACTTCGAGTTTCACTGTATCATGGGTCTGTCTCATCTCCCTGGTAATAGGATAAGCCTCCTACTTCTTTTGTGTGCACAGTGCGCAGTGTTTCCCCTGCTGCATGCCCCCTCCTCCCTAACATGAAATGAAGCATGTACTAGGCATTTCAGTAAGTGCTTGTTCCATTGAAATTGAATAGAAGTCTCTGGGGATATAAAATTTAGCACAACTGAAAAAAATAGTACAGCTAATCCCTAGGGTGAATCATCTATCTACGTATGGCCCAGTGGAAATGAGGCGTGAGTCCACATGATTCAGGTGTATGGATTGTTTACCAATATATTATCTCAGTTACAAATTTCCTGTTATTAGGTTGTGTAGTGAAGAATAGAGATGAAGTGAGAACTAAAAACTGACCATCTTACAACCATTCAAGCTCTGCTGCACTAAGAGTTACACAAAGAATTATTGAATAGAGCAGCCCTGAATAGCTCCTGTTAGATTAATTCATCCTGGCTAAGGGGCAATTGACCCCTCTCAAGCAAGTGTTTTAGTCTTTTCTAGTTCTCTCAGTGTCAAGCCCTGGCCTTGGCACCGAGTCTGGATTTTAGACTAACCCAGAATCAATTAGTAGCAGATACTAGAACGTTTTAGTATATAACCATACTCTTTGAGCCAGTAGTATGTTCTTTCTAGCATGGCAGTGTGAGCTAGAAAAAGTAGAATTGCATGAGAGCCATGAACTTCTTAACTTCTTTAACTCTCGAGCCAGACTTAATATGCCAGGAAAAAGGAAGTGGGACAACTACTATGAATTGTTTCTGTTGGCAGAAAAACAAGGAAGTGGAATGGTTTCCTCCGTAGGCACACACTTAAGAATCAGCTTTTCTTGTGAGCATCCTCTAGAATGGAACCTGGCATGGCTTTTTTGTGTGTATGTGTGGCCAATTAGCCAATGGCGGGTATCACTGATCTGGATGCTGAGAATTTTGTGTACAGTTTGATAAGTTTCGACAAATGTGTGTACCCATGTAATCATCACACCAAAACATATAGAACACTTCTACCGCCCTAGAATCATACCTATCATGTCCCTTTATAGTCAGCTCCCCCTGGCCCAACCCAGGCAACCTCTTATGGGATTTCTCTCACTACAGATTCCTGTTCTAGAATTTCATATAACTGGAATCATACAGGATATACTCTTGTGTCTATGCCAGTCAGTTTTTGTTAGCAGTTTATTGAGTCTCTGCCCCACTGCCAACTTATTATACCACCCTACTGCCCCTCCCCATATACGTACATTCCTATGTACGCTTGCTTAATTTCCCCATGAGTAAACTGCGTTTCTCACCAACTCTAGGAAGATATGGTTCGCCAGCACAGTTACTGCATTAACTTGAACTTCCTCTGTCCTCTGACATTTCTTAAAAAAAAGGTTTGGAACATAAAAGGGGCAGCAAATTAAGTGCTATTTCTTCCCATTTATGCTCCTGGAGGAGTCCTAATGACTCTAGGTTATTCTCTCACTGCCACATGGGGCCTCATTGAGATAATAGGATTTGCAAGGAAAGTATCTGGGAGACACAAGGCTGTGCGTGCCCCCCCCCCCACCCCGCCCTGCATCCATTAAGTCAGGACTAAGGTTTCCTCTGTAAATCCTGAATGCATTAGTGGCAACTGAGTTGAGGGTCAAATGTCAAATACTGTGCTGTGATGGGAGAGGACATCTGTGGCTAATTAGACCACTAATTGGCTCAGCTGGGGATGGAAAAGGGCTCTGCCCTCTCAGCTCTGCACCAGTGGGAAGCCACCTCCCTGTCCAGCCTCCAGCTCCCTGAAGGGGGATGAAAGACAATGAAAAGGTTTGTTTGCAGTGGGGGCCAAGGCAGCCTGCCCCATCTCCCCCAGTTTAGCATAAGGCAGGACATGGCTTTAGGAACTGGCCCTGTGTTAATCAGGAGAGTAAGAGTGAGCCAGTAGCCAAATGTCTACCTCTTCCGCTAGCTTTAAATTTAATCCTTTACTTTGGAGATAAGAGTTACACACCCACACAAACCCATCTAGCTTTTTTCCTGCCCCAAGCTGATTTCTTTTCTTTTCTTTTCTTTTTTTTTTGAGGAAGATCAGCTCTGAGCTAACATCCATGCCAATCCTTCTCTTTTTTGCTGAGGAAGACTGGCCATGAGCTAATATCCATGCCCATCTTCCTCCACTTCATATGGGATGCCGCCACAGCACGGCCTGACAAGTGGTGCATCGGTGTGCGCCTGGGATCCGAACCCCGGGCCGCCAGCAGCAGAGTGCGTGCACTTAACCGCTACGCCACGAGGCCGGCCCCCCAAGCTGATTTCTTGAGTGACTCACAATTTGTATGATGATGTTCAAAGGCCTCAATTAATACTCAATTTATTCATTGATCCATTTATGATTGCATTTGACAAATACTTATATAGTACCTGCCATATGCAAATCATGGTACCAAGCACCGTGGAGCCTTCACAGATCAGTTAGATGATCTTTGCTTACAAAGATCAGTAATATGCTCTTGCCTAGCTTATAGTCTAGCAGGCTTGTGAGGTTTATAAGTATTAACTACAATATGAGGGAGGCTGTGAGGTAGGTAAAAGATGGATACAAACAATGCTTCAGGCATTCCAAGATGGGAAAGAAAATTTATGGTCTAGAGAATCATGGAAAGCTTCATGGAGGAGGTGCCTTTTGAGCTGGACCTTATGAGGTGGGGAGAATTTCTGTAGGTGGAGATGAAGTTGGGAACTTATTTGAAGAAAAGAGCAGGAAACAAGACAAGGAGGGAACCTATGGACATTTTTTTGGTGAGCTGGTGGCATCCACATTGTAGCATATTGTCTCTCTGAGGCAGGTGACCTCCTGGCTGAGAACCTCACTTTCCCCTTGCTTTGCAGATCAATGAGCTGAGCAATGTCCCTGTCCCTGTCATGCTAATGCCAGATGACTTCAAAGCATACAGCAAGATCAAGGTGGACAATCATCTCTTCAATAAGTAAGTTGCCCCCTGAGTGGGCTCAGGTGTCGTGGGCAGTCCTTTCCTCAAGGCAGAGAGCTGAAACATTGCACGTGGCTTGCCGAGCCAACACCTGGCAGGGTGAAACAGTGACACCTGGATCACAGAGCTGAAAAAATGGCTGGAAAAATGCATTCATTATGTGCCTCTCCCCCTTGTGTTGTCTTGTCATCTCACTCCTTTATCAGCCTACCTCCATTGTCCCTCGGGGCATGTGGCTCGGCCCAGGGTGATTCATCCAGGGCCAGTTTAGGTAAAAGTGAGCTGCTCGGGAGCTGAAGTATCTAGTGTGAGGCTGACAGCAGTGGCCCTATCTGATCTTAGTCTGAGGCAAGAAGCTGCCAGGCATGTTCCTGGCCTGGGATACAGCCAAACTGTTTTCTCTCCAGTTGATGTGTGAACCGCAGGCTGAGCATGGTACCCAAGGGTGCTATCCACAGGACGTCTTCCCATCCTTGTTGGTTCTGCCTTCCTAGATTGACACTGGGGTCTGAAGGTCGGCTCAGACTCTGTTGGAGCAGCCGTCTCACCTGGTAGTCTGGCTGGCCCAGGCCCTTTGGGGGCCTTGCTTTTTCATGCTACTCTGGGTCACCCTAGGAGCCATTTGCTGCTCCACTTTCCTCCTCTCTGCATTGGAATCCTGGTTCCACTCTCCATTGTCCCACAGTCCCCACCACCTCACCAGCTGGGCTCTGCCACCCCACCATCCCCAGACTGTTAGCCCAGAGGAGAAGCTTGATTCAAATACATCCCTTAGTGGCCTCTCTCTGCCATAGTAAGTAAGAACAGCATCTTATTCTAGAAGCCATCTGTCTTCATAGCTGCTGCTTGCTAAGTGACTACCTTCACAGAAGAACTCTCCTTTGTTTCTTCTCCACTCTCACACTACCACCACACTTCACTTCTGACACCGGACGTGTGGGTTTTCCACACATCAAGCAATTCTGTAGGATACCAGCTGGGTGTCCTACAATTCACTTGAGTTCTGACACTGTCTACCTGGAGTTAGCATCAGGTCCCCCAGGTTAAAGGCTCAGTCCCACAAGACTGCACCCCCCACCTCAGATGCCAATCGCAAGTCCACGTTGTCACCTGTGCTTCTAACCAACCTGCTATAGATCAGAGGTTTCTACGACCCTCCCCCTTGGGTTGGATTAATTTGCTCAAGTGGCTCACAGAACTCAGGAAAACAGTTTACTTAGTAGATTACTGGTTTATTATAAAAGGATACAACTCAGGAACAGCCAGATAGAAGAGATGCATAGGGCAAGGTATATGGGAAGGGGCGGGGAGCTTCTATGCCCTCTCTGGGTATACCACTCTCCCCAAATCTCCACGTGTTCACCAATGTGGAAGCTCCCAAACTCTGTCCTTTTGGATTTTTATGGAAGCTTCATTAAGAAGGCATGATTGATTTAATCATTGACCATTGATGATTGATTCAACCTTCAGCCCCTCTCCCCTCCTTGAAGGTCAGTGGGGTAGAACTAAAAGTTCCAATCCTCTAATCCTGGTTGGTTTCCCTGGTGACCAGCATCCATCCTTAGAGGCTTTCCAAAATTCACCTCATTAACATAAAGTCAGGTGTGGTTGAAAGGGGCTCGTTATGAATAACAAAAGTCACCTTTATTGCTCTTATCACTTATGAAATTCCAAGGATTTTAGGAGCTCTGTGCCAGAAACATGGACAAATAAATATTTCTTGTTATATCACTATATCACACCACCTAAGGAAGGAGAGGCAGCGCTCGGCTCTGAGGCAGGAAAGGAGGTTGTTCTGTCCCAGAGGTCAGGGCTCTGGAAGTGGGCATTGCACCACTGCCCTTTCAGAGTCCATGGCCTCTGGTGAAGATCTACCACCTTGACATCTTGGCCTGAAGTAGAACATCCAATCTCTTATTTTCCTTTATATTTCTTTATTCCTTTTGTCCTTTCAATGACTGTTTATGTGCTAGTTATTAGACTGCAGTGCTATTTACTAGAAGACAGGGGTACATAAGGCAGACCAGGCCCCTGCCTTCATGAGAAGCCACTGCTTTTTATTTCCTTGAAGTCTATCGTCCTGGAGTAATCAGAGGGATATAGTTCTGAAAGGGAGTTCCCAAGCAGGGTGACTCCTGTAAAGATGGAGGATTTGGAGAAGGCATGCCTTCACAGTGGTTCTCTCCCCTCCTGGGAGAGAGTCTGTGGATTGACTAAGGAGTGGGAAGGGTGGAGATTGGTGCCAGCAGCCAGCAAACAAGGCTTCATGGAAAGATGGGATCCCAGTCAATTGACTGAAGACCTCTTCGACCTAATGCTCCCCGCTCCTCCATCCCAGTGGAAGCCAAGAGCAGGGCCTCCTGGATGTAACCATCTTCAGGATGTTTTGATAGGAGCATCCTCAGAGGAGAGGGGCCCTTTGATGAGAAGGGCCTTTCCCTTTAGCAGTCAGACTGACATTCACGTCACAGCAGCTGTGCACGTACAGCCACCCACCTGTAGCAAGTACAGTGCTTATGAAGTGGAGCCTAAACTCAGTCTCACTTCTCGGCAGGTAAGGTCTTTTTCCTTTAATGTAAATTTTATTGAAAGATAACATACAGTCAGAAAAAGAACACAAATCATAAGTATACAGCTAGGTTAATTTTTACAAAGTAAACACAAGGGATGTAAAGTTTTTAAATCTTTACGTGCTCAGAATCACCTGGAGTAGTTAAAAATGCAGATTTCCAGACTTACCTCCAGAATTTCTGAGGCCTAGAAGCCTATACTGTAAGCACTGCAGATTGTTCAGATCCAGATGACCTGTGGACCACACTGGAGAAGTTGTGATGTGAGAATTAGGTGAGCAAGGAGAAGTTCACAGACATTTCTCTGCTCTTCCCTAGGGAGAACCTCCCCAGCCGCTTTAAGTTTAAGGAGTACTGCCCCATGGTGTTCCGAAATCTCCGGGAGAGGTTTGGGATTGATGATCAGGATTACCAGGTACGGGATGTCTGCAAAACCGCAGGGGTTAGAAAGTGGAGTGGGGTCAGGAAGCCACAGGACAAGTAGAGGAAAAAAGTGTCTACTGTTCTTGTGCTGCATCTTCCTGTCATTTTCTGCTCTGGCCCCTGCAGTCTTTCCCCAGTGTTGCTGGGCTCTTGGAGGGCTGAGGGCCTTAGAAGTGCTTCTGATGATGCCTCACAGGCTCAGGCTCCTCTCCCTGGGAGGGAGAGCAGTGGGAGGGAGAGGGGTCTGTGAAAGCTGCTTCATTTTAGTCTGACATTCCCAGTCTAGGCTGAAGAACCCTTCTCCTTCGTAGTTTGACTTAAAAGAGAGAATTGTTGCCAGCGGGAAATGAGGCCGCTTAAAGCAGATAAGACAGATTAGAAAAGGAAGACTTCAAGGGTAGTGTAACCTCTTGCCAGGTATGAGTGCCACCTCCTAAACTTGTCCCCTGTCTGATGTTGGGAGGGGGGATAGGCATGGCAGGGCAACTGCCCCCGTTGGGGGGTGATAGTGTCATAGAGGCTTTGGCTTCTTGGGAGGAATCAACCCCAATATCAGGGACATTATAGTCTGACCCCTAGTCCATGGTTTCTGATACTTGTCCACCTAGCACCTTCCTTGGACCTTCTTCCCGTGGTAGACAGCCTGATGGTGAAGGTGGGAGAATTTTCCACTTCACCTTTGTAGCAGTAAGAAATATAGCTGACTTTCAATTTTCTGTGGGGAAAAAAGGAGTGTATAGCCTGGTGAAATCTAAAATAGATGCCCACATCTTTTAAAATACTGTCATTCCTCCCTCCTCACTCCTAGTAGGACTTTCACAGAGTAGTTCACGAGAAGTGGAAGGGGCCTTGGGTGAGGCTCCCTCCCCTCCCTCTTCCACTCTGGAGGGCCTGCTGCAAAGATGTGTGTCCTGAAGAGGAGGGTGAGGGGATGTGAGAGGAGGAGGAGAGGAGACTTGAGCAAATAGGAATGTCTATATGTAAGAGGAACTGGGAGGTCCCTCCAGCCGCCTCTGTTAGGACCCAGCCCTGAACTAAATCATGACCTGATTGGAGCCTGAGGTTTTCTGAAAGCTTCTTGCCATTATTGCATCCCCAGGTTGCTCAGACATCTTCCCTCCACTGTGGCTCCTTCCCTTCCTCTTGACCATCTAACCACATCCTCTCAGTGTCGGCATTTTTTCTCTAATAGCCTTGTGGGCAAGTGATTGTGCTCAGGACTGAAATAGGGGCAGAGAGGACCGTGTTCAGGGAGGGGACTCTATACTCTTGGACTACCAGTGATTTAGAGAGTCAGAAAATGCTGGCTGGAAATGAGACAGGGATAGAACTATACTTCCCAACCGGGCTTGAGGCCTGTAAGTCTTACTGATACAGGGACCAGGCTGGGAGAATGAGGCCCTCAGTTATGTAGTCTAGTCAGCATTTCTGGGTTGGGGACGCCCTGTTTGGGGGGTGCTCCTGTAACTTAGAGAGCCCCTCACCACTTCAAACTTTAGTTTCTCCCATGAAGGTGATCCTCTCTCCTCCCCCAGGGTCTTGTGAGGAGGGAGGCATTAGGTGAAGGTAAAGAGTAGAATCCTAGGTAAGAGACGAGGAAAGGGCTTGGAGAGGCGGCATTTCAGTGAGCAGATCCCCACATGTGTTTTCTTGGGAACAGGGACATCTGAGATCTCCCTCTCTGCCTTGCCTCCCAAAGATCTTCTCCCGGCATCTGCTTGGTGAACACCTCCCTTTGGTTGACTCACACCTTCCCCTACCCCCCTCTTTGAGGCTTCTACTGCTCTCTGATCCTAATGGGAATGGGGCCTCGAGGAGGAGCAGGGACAGAACCAGAAAAGCTCCCCAGAACTGCCGCGTAGCCCTGCACAGACAAGCAGGAGTTTGAGGTGAGGGGAGAAGTGTTGGGGAGAGAGGTGAGGACCAACTTCCTGCTTTGGGAAGGGTTTTCCAGCATCAGGGTACATACAGGGAAAAGATATGACTGTGTCCATTGCTTCTTTATGCTAGACTTCTTGAATATTTCCTAAGCTTTGTCTTTGTCATCCCAAGAGCCTGGGAAAATCATCTTGGTCAGCCTCCTTGTGTTCCAGGTGAGGAAACTTAGGAGTAGAGAAGTTAAATGGCTCACCCAAAGTCATATCACACGTGAGCATCAAGATTAGAACCCAGTCTGGGGTTCTAACGTCTAGGGGCCGAATTTTAGTTTGTAGGGTAGCTCTCTGGGATCAGAATGAAAGGAAATGGGTCACAGTTAGTCCTCTTCCCCTCCCAGTGAAGGATTAGGAGCAGGTGGTAAGGAACAACTCTTGTCACTCTTAGGAAGACTTTTGGGAGAGATGTGAACTTCTCTTGAGAAAAGGGGTGGGTAAGGTCCCATCTATCTCAGTGTTGTTGGCTTTAGAGCAACGTAGCCCGTAAGAGAAGACTCAGAGCAGGAGTCCGAGTCCTTGTTCCCCTCCCAAGACGAGACCGCTTTTGTCTTGGTCCATCAGAATTCAGTGACACGCAGCGCCCCCATCAACAGTGACAGCCAGGGCCGATGTGGCACACGTTTTCTCACCACCTATGACCGGCGCTTTGTCATCAAGACTGTGTCAAGTGAGGATGTGGCTGAGATGCACAACATCTTAAAGAAATACCACCAGGTATGGTGAGTCCCGAGCCTGGACAGTAGAGGACAGGTTGGAAGAGGGAGAAGAGATGGAGCTTCTTGGGGAGGGACTGGTCCTCTCTGGTAATGGCAGATGCCTCCTGATAACCGAGCAGTTGGCCCTCTCCCAGTACCGTGTTTCTGTGAGGTTTTTCTGTGCCTACTTGAGAAAAGAAAAAAGGAGAAATGAAGGCGTGTTACTGACTCAGTCCCAGTTGAACAGCTGTTTCTTGTCAGAGTTGGGACGTTTTCACACTCTAGCACCTGCCTCATTTCTTCTAAAAGAAGTCCTGTGGGCTCGGTGGGCTTGGGCTTTTCCCATCCCAACTCTCCACTCCCCTGGAACCTGTCCGCGAGAAAAGCGGGGTGGTGGTGGCACCATCTGAGGGCCTGTCCTAAGCCTGCTTGGTTCATCAGGGAAAGCTGGCTTCTCTCTGGGGCATCTGGGAAGTGGTGACAGGGAGTTACAGCAGAAAACCCTGGGGCATAGCATGGGTGGGAGCTTCTGGTGTGGAGCCATTCTGTTTTCCCAGACAGCCAGGTCACAAGCTTGCCTCTGCATCCCCTCTCTGCCCTTTGGCTTTCCCATTTCAGGCCGGCAGAGGAGGTGCAAGGCCTAGATCAATGCTTTTCCTGCGGTGGAACCCAAATAATGTGAAACCAAAGGGGCTGTGCACTGCTTGCTTAGCCTCACACTCTGCCCTGCCAGTTGGGGACGGGGGTGGCCGTTGCCTGTTGTAAGTCTGGGGAACCCCCATGTCTTCAAGAACCCAATTTGAAAACCACTAGTCTAGAGGCTAGAATCCCAGGGAGCCTTTCAGCCTGGGAAGAGCCCCGTCCATCCTGGCACCTTCATATGTTCCTTTGCCTTCCCTCCTGTGCTCCCTTCCTTTCTAGTTCATAGTGGAGTGTCATGGCAACACCCTTTTGCCCCAGTTCCTGGGCATGTACCGCCTGACCGTGGATGGCGTGGAAACCTACATGGTGGTCACCAGGAATGTGTTCAGCCACCGGCTCACTGTACACCGCAAGTATGACCTCAAGGTAAGAGGCTCTGTGTTTCCAGCTTTGTCTCTGGCTGCCTGAGGCCTGGAGGGGCCACGACTCCAACCTCCACCTAGCGGGAAAGCCGGAGCATGTGTTTTGGCGTGGACAGGTGACTCTGGAGTTGATCCGCTCAGTTCTTGTGGGCCAAAGGCTGTTTGAAGTCCAGGTGACAGTGACAAGAGGTTAAGCCCTGAATGTACCATGTTTATGTAACAAGTGATGTTCTTCAACTCCTGTCAGTGGGATGTGCACACAGAGGGCAGCAGTATGGGGACAGGCTGTGCTGACACATGTACTCTGGCATCTGTCCAGGCCCCACCGACTGACAGCACAAGTGTATTTCTAGACGCCAGAAAGAACACACTTGTGCCTATGAACCACAGCACTCTGTTTTTCTTGACCCTGACTTCCTGACTTCTGTCACCTCACACCACCCTCCCTCTCTCGGCTGCAGCTACACGGTCTCCTTTCCATTCCTGCAGAGCCTGCGCTCTCCTCTCCCAGGATCTCAGACAGGCGGCCTGGACTCTTTTCCCTCCCTGCCTTTTTCTCCACCTCCACCTTCCTCCCCTAATTACTTCCTCCCTTCCCTTCTGAGCTCGGCTCAAATATCACTTCTTCCAGAAGCAGGCCTTGGCCACTGCACCTCCCTAGTCCAGGCCCCACCCCTGTGCCCACCCTCAGAGTGTCTTGTCTCCTCCCCTGACCACTTAGCATCATTGTAATTAATGGACTAATTATTCATATAACTCCTGTTTAATGCCTGTCTCCCTTGTTAGAAGGAAAGTCCCCTAAGGGCAGGGACTGAGTCTTGGTACAGTCCTGTTTCCTGAGTAGGTATCTTGTATGCAGTCAGAGCTCTGTAAACGGCCTATGACTGAGGAAGTGGAAAAAGTTGCTGCCTCCTGGCACCTCTAGGATCCTAACCGGGCTACTTCAGTTCACCTGCTGCCTTTCTCCAAAGACTGGTCCATGTTTTCTTGCTCAGTGGAATTTGCCTCAGCTGGACTTCTCCTGATGGCTCTTATCCTTTCAGGGTTCCACTGTTTCCAGAGAAGCGAGTGACAAGGAGAAGGTATGCTGGGACCTGTGCTGATCAAGTGTGGAATGGGTCGCTTGGAATCAGAAACAACTTCTGTCGGCCATCCCGTTCCTTCCTCCACCACAGCCTCCAGCCCAGTTCCCAGACATGCAGTCTGTCCACATGAAATGCTCGGTGTCGCTAAGCACCTTCCTGTCCTCATCCTCTGCCTAGGCCTTGGTCTCTAGCCTTTTACCTCTGCCCTTGCTGGGTTCTTCATGGTCCTGGAGGGCTGGCAGTTTCCATCTCATGGTCCAGCCTGAATCAGCGAGTGGCTGCCTGAGCCCTGAGGTAGTCCAGGCTCAGCAGGAAGGCATGCTTTGGTCAGTCCTTGTTGTCTGACATATGCCACATATTTGCCATCCCTGCCTGCCCAAAGCCTCGAACTATAGCCTCCTGTGCTGAGCTGTTGATTTGGCAGGTTGACCATCTGTGTGCTAAAGACCCTTCCCCTTTCTGTACCATTGCCTGGCAGAGGACTCCTTGTGGTGAATGAATCAGGCCAACCAACCTAACACTGCTATTGCTCTCCCAGGCCAAGGACTTGCCGACATTCAAAGACAATGACTTCCTCAATGAAGGGCAGAAGCTGCATGTGGGAGAGGAGAGTAAAAAGAACTTCCTGGAAAAACTGAAACGGGATGTAGAGGTACTTACTAACCCTCGTTTTCACCTTAGTTGAACAGGGCCCTCTCTTATCCCCAGAGCAGAAGCTTCTTTCACCTTAAGAAAAATTGAATTCACTACTTTCCAGGAGTATGGACAAAAGAAAGGGTGGTGATTGAGCAGTGTGGGTAGTTATTTGCACCTAAAGCTAGTGCAAATGAACTTTCCATTTGGGGGGACACGATTTGTGCCAGTACAACCTTTGTAACTCAGTTTGAGATACTTTGCTTCGTCTCTTCACTAATCTATTGCAGCACCTTTTTCAAACTTCTTTTCTGGTGGTGTCCCCATAGTGGAGGGGGCATCCAGCCATCAGAGCGACAGGAAACCAGCTGTTAAGAGCCACCAACCATGTGGTTCTCTGGCTCTGACTCTCCGCTTACCTAGCAACCTTCCAGTGGAATGGTACTTCCAACCAGAAGTTCCTGTGGAGAAGTTCCTCCGGGGAGAACAGGTGCTCAACAGCGAATGTGATATCTGCACCACTTGATAACTCAGTGTCTCCTTCTATTTTAATAAATTCGGAGCCTGCTCATTAAAACCAAACTCTACAAACTTTAAAAAAAAATTATTTTTTTTATTGTGGTAAAATATGCATAACATAAAATTTACATCTTGGGGCCGGCCAGGTGGCACAGTGGTTAAGTGTGCATGCTCCGCTTCGGCGGCCTGGGGTTCACAGGTTCGGACCCCGGGTGCGCACCAGTGCACTGCTTGTCAACCGTGCTGTGGCGGCGTCCCATATAAAGTAGAGGCAGATGGGCGTGGATGTTAGCACAGGGCCAATCTTCCTCAGCAAAAAAGAGGAGGATTGGCATCGGATGTTAGCTCAGGGCTGGTCTTCCTCACAAAAAAAAAAAAAGAATTACCATCTTAATCATTTTTAAGCATACAGTTCAGTGGCGTTAAGTACATTAACATTGTTGTGCAGCCTTCACCATCATCCATCTCCAGAACTTTTTCATTGTTCCAAACTAAAACTCCGTACCCATTAAACACTAATTCCCCATTCCACCTTCTCCCCAGCCCCTGGCGACCACCATTCTGCTTTCTGTCTCTATGAAACTGTATTCTAGGAACCTCACATAAGTGGAATCATATGAGATTTGTCCTTTGTGTCTGGCTTATTTCACTTACCATAACATCTTCAAGGTTCATCCATGATGTAGCATGTGTCAGAATTTTCTTCCTTTTTAAGGCTGAAGAATATTCGATTGTGTGTATGTACTACATTTTGTTTACCCATTCATCACTGGACACTTGGTATATTAGTTAAGATTCTCCATAGAAACAGAATCAATGGAGTGTGGCTAGCTAGCTAGCTAGATGATTATTATAAGGAATTGGCTCACACGATTAATGAGGCTGACAAGTCCCAAGATCTGCAGTTGGCAAGCTAGAGACACAGGAGAGCTAATGGTGTAGTTTCAGTCCGGAGGCTGGCAGGCTCAAGACCCAGGAATAGCTGATGTTTTAGTCACATCTGAAGGCAGGGAAAAAAACTGATGTCCCGGCTCAAAGGCAGTCAGGCAGGAGGAGTTCAGGGTCAGACTTTTTGTTCTAGTCAGGCCTTCAACTGATTGGATGAGGCCCACCCACATTAGGGAGGGCAATCTACTTTACTCTTACCGATTCAGATGTTAATTCCACCCATAAACACCCTCACAGACACACCCAGAATAGTATTTGTTTTTTAATTATTTATTTTATTTTTTCCCCCAAAGCCTCAGTAGATAGTTGTATGTCATAGCTGCACATCCTTCTAGTTGCTGTATATGGGACGCGGCCTCAGCATGGCTGGAGAAGCAGTGCGTCGGTGCGCGCCCGGGGTCTGAACCCAGGCCCGCCAGCAGCAGAGCGCGCGCGCTTAACCACCAAGCCACGGGGCCGGCCCCCAGAATAGTATTTGACCAAATGTCTTGGCACCTGTTGGCCCAGTGGAGTTGACACATAAAATTAACCATCACACTTGGATTGCCTCATTGTGAATAATGCTGCTGTGAACATGGGTTTTACAAACTTCTTTTTCTAGGAAGCTTTTCCTTAATCACCCCCTACTATGTTTGTGCCTTGATTCTGACATTTCCTTTGTTCAGAGTCTTTCTCCTCCCTTTCCTCCCTACTCTGCTTCTAAGAAGAATTTAAGGCAGTTTACACAATTTATGTTTCACTTGCATGTTGCTTCATAAATGTTCTCAGGGGGATAGGAGGGTTGTGGTTCATGGACTCTCTCTCTTCTGGGACCCCAGCCCCTTCTCCCTAGACCTCAAGAAGGCCTTGTCCAGAGGTGTGTGAAATGGTGCCCCCACCTTTCTTTAGTGGGGAGATTCTGCTGATCTCCTATCATCAGGGCTTCTGGTGCTTTTTGTTGTGTTCTGGGTCTGTGCATAGAGCCGCTCTGGTCCTAGTATGACTCTTTTCCTAATCCCCTAGTCACGGTGGTCAGTCGGACAGTTTCCTGGTGCTGTAGGCTCAATTTGTGACCATGGCAGAATGCCCGGCATATGACTGATGGTGGCTGCTGGCTCGTTCACAGAAGGTTTGGACCAATGACTCTGGCCTCATTATTAGCTAAACTGGAATGCTGGCTGGCCATTTCCATCCTGTATCATTCCCACACTGTTCTTCTCCAAGTCATGCAGTCCTAGATCAGGAGACCTGAGACACCATCCTGCTCACAATACTCATTATGTAGGTGAGAAAATGGAGACTCGGCAAGGGGGAAGCCACAGCGAGGGGAGGGCTCCAGTGCTCTCTCCCTCTGCCCCACATGGCCTCTTTTGACCTTCAGGGATGGGATTGAGAATGTTGGTTGGCTCTGACTCTCATTCTTATGTCATGTCCCCTTTTCTTTATCTCCCCATTTTTACCCTGACTGGTAAAGAAGCTGAATTGCATAGTTTTTCAAACTTTGCCTGTGACCCCCAGTTAGAAGTGCATTTTGCCTTGCAACCCAACATATGTACCATACACACACACAAACTGAAATACTACGTACGATTTCTTCCTGTTAGGTCCTCTGATATTTTCTATCCTATTTCATAATAATAATAGTAAAAAAAAATCCTACTCCCAGCCCACTAAATTAGATATAGGACTCATAATGGACTGAGGTTCATGGTTTGAAAGACACTGCTATGTTGCATCCATCTCTCTTGCACGGTACAACATTCCATTCTTTCTTTCCTCAGACTAGCCGTGGCCTCTCATGATCCCAGACCGTACGGGCTGTCCCCTCTTCCTGCCGCGCTCGTTCTGTCTTCACTCCTGCAGCCTCTGCCTGCCTGATTCCTCTTCATCCGTCAGGCTCAGTCTCGGCTCCTTTCCTCAGGGAGGCCCTCCCCCCGCTGCTCTGGACTCCCACAGCTCCTTGCCCTTCTGAAATAACTGTCTTCCCCATTAGACTTTGAGCCCATCGAGGGCAGAGATTCGGGTGTCTTATTCTCTATTGTATTTCAGAATTGGAGAATTGAGTTGAACACTTTTTCTCCCCTTTCCGGATGCCGCTGGGATGTCCTGTGTAACCTCTTCCTTCCATCTCTCCTTCTCCCACCTCCGCTAGTTCCTGGCCCAGCTGAAGATCATGGACTACAGCCTGCTAGTGGGCATCCATGACGTGGACCGGGCCGAGCAGGAGGAGATGGAGGTGGAGGAGCGGGCAGAGGACGAGGAGTGTGAGAATGACGGGATGGGCGGCAACCTGCTCTGCTCCTATGGCACGCCTCCAGATAGCCCTGGCAACCTCCTCAGCTTTCCCCGGTTCTTTGGTCCTGGGGAATTCGATCCCTCTGTTGATGTCTATGCCATGAAAAGCCATGAAAGTAAGTAGGAGCTTGTGCCTGCCCTGCCCACCCCTGGCCCCCATCCTTCCCTCTTGGGCCCATTGTTCAGATGCCGCTGTGGGTGTCTGGACTCTACCTTGTTAATTGCTGACTCTGTCCTCTTTCTGCCTCCAGGCTTCTATACTGGGTCATCACAGTAACTCCGTCTTCTGGGGCCCTGGGGTCCTTCTCTGTCAGGCCTTCCTTCACCCCTCTGCTTGTCCCGGATATCGGAGGCATGGTTCTGCTCTGGTTCATGGGGTGGACAAAATCTCATAAATACTGTCAGGTCAACCCCACAGGGTGGCTGTGAAGATCAAATAAGAGCTATGAAAGCTTCTGAGGAGGATTCCATTAGTCATTCCTTTTGTCAGATCCAAAATGATAGGGATGGCTCTGAATCTCATATCTGAAGGGTCATGGACACAGCTGCTTTCTGCTCTTCTCCCTGCCCCCTCTTCCTCCTTTCCTGCTTCCCCTCCCCCTTCAGGTGCCCCCAAGAAGGAGGTCTATTTCATGGCCATCATCGATATCCTCACGCCGTATGATGCTAAGAAGAAAGCTGCACATGCTGCCAAAACGGTGAAACATGGGGTGAGTTCTCCCTCTCCATCCAGGCCCAGCAGGGGGGCCCTCGGACCCCGGGGAGGGGGGTCTCAGGCCTCCTGCTCTACGGAGACGCCCTCCAGCCCCCCTCCCAGGACAGAGAACCGGAAGAGCAGCCTGCCTGGTTGCCTTGTCCTCTCTCTCTGCATCTACACCCACTGCCTCCCTGCAGCCAGCTGATATGCCCAACTTGTTTTTCCCCTAGTTCTTTGGCCCTCAGGGCCCTGAGCCCGCTGGCTCCTTTCCCCAGGGCTGCTGGGCATGTTGTGCATCTTGTTGACCGCTGGTAATAGCTTTGTTGACATGCCCGTGCTGCTCCCCAGAGGCCTGTTTCCCCATGGACTTCACACTACTGTTCTCCAAACAGGGGCCCCACAGAGATCTGGAGCCTCTCTGCCACCTCCCCACTGCCGTGCTCCTGCTTCAGTGGGTGCAGCCCTTGGTTGTGAATCAGAGGAGTGGGGCCAGGATGATTCTGAGATGTGGGAACCACTTCTTGAGGTGGCCTGCCCAGTCTGAGGGGTAGTATTCAGCTCTAATGCGGAGCCAGAGGCTCCTGAATACCCAGGCCCCTCCCAGGCACAGCCCCCTGATTAGGGCCAAGGAGCTCGACCTGAGTCGGCCTCTGTGTATTACAGGCGGGGGCCGAGATCTCGACTGTGAACCCTGAGCAGTACTCCAAACGCTTCAACGAGTTCATGTCCAACATCCTGACATAGTTACCTTCCACCTTCAGCCAGAGCCAGAGAGCTGGATGTGGGGTCGGGCTTGGAAGAGGGAGAAGGTGTATTTGGGCTGGATGGGAGGGTGGGGGCAGAGTGGGGGGTAGGGGAGGGCTTTAGCAATGAGACTGCAGCCGGTGACACAGAGACTAGCTGGGGAGGAGGGGATGTGCTGTGTGTGCACGTGCTCACAGGATGTAGCCTCACCTGCTTACCCTTGATTTTTTTCCCCCCACTTGACCCAGGTTAAAAAGGGGTTTCCTTTCTGTTACCTTGTAACCTTGTAAGATACCTTGGGGCTAGAGATGACTTTGTGGGTTTATTTAGGTTTTGTTTCTGAAATTTCATTGCTCCAGGTTTGCTATTGATAATGATGTATGTCATCACCCTATCCACCCTCCCCATCCCTGCCCTGCTCTCAGTTCCTTTCAATTAAAGAGGCACCCCATAGACCTGGCCAGGGGTCCCTCAGAGCAAAGTGCTCTAACGCCAGAGGAGAGGAGGTCAGACACCTCAGCCCTGCTGCATTTGATCTTGTCTGGATTAACTTTTTAATTTTATGGAGTATTGTGCACAGCTTCCTCCACCTTTCCCTCGGATCCAAGTGAAATGTTACATGATTCCTCCATCTAAATGCTGTCCTCCCCAAGGAACACTCCAGATCAACATCAGGCATCTTGGATGGGAATCAGAGACCTCAAAGGGGAGTGAGTTTATCCTCATGGGATGGTGAGGGGTCGGGGGAGCTGCTGGGCTCTTGGACAGCTGGTTCTCAGAGAACCCGTGATTATCACCAAAGCCCCTGGGCTCTCTCACTCTGGAGTTCAGATGTCCTCTCTATAAAGCCTGCTTCCCACTGGATCAAGAGGAAAGCACCTTTCGATGTAACAGGACCCTTGTGCTAAAATGATTATTTTCCCTTGGGGAAACCCTGGAAGCTGATGAGTATCAAATGAGGTCTTGTGCCCTCCATTCACTGACTTCCTTCTGACCTTCTGCCAGGCACCCTCACTTGCAGATGAGCTTTTAGCTGGGGGCAGATCTCCACACACCTAGGGTGCTCCTTGCAGAGACACCTCTTCAGGCCCCAAGGCTACCATGTAGGTAATCTGACTCCTTGTGCCTGTGGTTTGTCACCTGGATGGTTATGGCCAGCAGGGAGTGGTGCCCTCCACCTTAGAGTGTGGTGCCCAAGCCCGAGGTTGCTTCTGAGTCACTTGAGGATGTGACCCAGGAAATCCCATTTGGAGGCTTGATGTGGGATTCGACCTGGCCCCCAACCTTGGGGCCGTTTTTCCTTGATGCCCCCCACCCTAGACTTTTAGCAAATCTGCTACCCACAGCTTCCTCAGGAGTGGCATCCTGCAGCTTCCTTCAGGATCTCCATCTACTTTCTGAGCCTGCTACCCAGGCCTCAGAATTGAGCCGTGTATGTGGGTCTGTGATGCCATCAGAGCAGTCTGGTCTGGCTAGGAGAGAAAACGGGCCCTGCATTGGAGGAGGTAATTCCTGCCTCTTCTCACCTCCTGACCAGGAACTGGGGATTTGGGATGAGATATGGTAAAACTTGTAGATGGGAAGAAAGTTTATGGAACCATTTTGAATGAATGGATTGGTTTCCTGTGGCTCCCTCCAAACCCGGTCAAGTTCACTTTCTGGAGCAGGAACCAGTACCCTCTCGGTGCCCTACCTGCAGCATTATGTCAGGGAGGAATGGAGACAGCCTTCTTGGACTCCACTGGGGCTGCCAGAACCCTTCTGGAAGAGTCAGACGGGTCAAACAACCGCCCTGGCCCCAGGAAGGGGCCATAGGTAGCTCTGAATATCAGCAGCAAGACCACGAAATGACTTGGGGAAGAACTTGGAACCAAGTGGCTCATGGAGAAAACAAATTTGATTTAGGAAGGGATTACGTAGGAATAATGTTTGGACTTGATTTCCGCACCTCCTAATCAAGAATGAAAATTTGGATCTGCTCCTAGTCAGGCCCAGCATCTCCAAAGCTTGGGAGGCTATCTGCCAGCAGCCTCCACAGCCTTGGGCTCCCACCGGCTTCTGCATTTGGTCTGCTGATCATGTTGCCATAATTGTATGAAAAGTGTAACACCGTCTATCAGTTAAAGATGAGCTACCAGGTATCTAACTTCTTTAACATTGAGTTTTTGTGGTTTTTTTTTTTTTTTTTGGTATATTGTTTACATTTTGAGAGGTAGCATTCTGTTTTAAATGCTTTTTGTTTTTCTGACAGTATTGTTGATTTGGGTCGAAACATTTGAGCTATGGTTTGGTGGATTTTAGATTTTTTTTAAAGGTCATTCTCTGTGCTATCTTCAGAACCTTGGATTTAGCCCTCTAATTCCTTTGGCATTCAAATGTTTAAAAGCTATTTATCTTGGTTTATACAAGTTTTCTTTCTCTTCTTTTTGTAATGATGAAGATATTATGTTTGGTTTGCAGTCTGAACATAGAGAAAGTGAACTGATCCCCAAGCTTTTGTCTGCCCCCACTCTTTTTTCCAAGTCCCACCTTTCCCTCACTGGGCAGTAAGGCCTCCGAGGGGAAGTGACTGCCCTCAGCCTCGCTCTTTGGAGCCATGAAGAAAGGCTGAATTGTCTTATGGCATCTTGGAACACTTGGGTCTCCCGAGAACAAAGGTATAAGAACAGGACGCGGCTGACTGGGTGAGGCCTAGATGGGGATAAGGGCAGGATTCTGCTCCCTTCCTTCCCTCTGCCATTTCACCAGGCACAGCTTCTCCTGTCCTGCCCCGCCTCTCTTCTCTGAAAGTCCATGGCTGAGAAAACTGGTCTCCCAGGTCTCCCAGCCAAAGTGAGGAGTCTCTGAACTCCACTTAGACCACTAGGTGAAGGCCTCTGGCCCTTGTTCCTGTTAATGAACCACTGAGTCTTTGTTCCCCAGCGCAAGCTCCTTCCCTGTGCCCTGTGGTTTGGGGGTTATGGGGCAGGCTGGAAGCCAGCAGTTGCAGGAGCACAGACTGAAGCAGTGCTCCATCTCTCCTTATCGAGCTCAGGGGTTACTGGTCTGTGGCAGGTGCCACGAGTCGCCCCTGTGGCTGTTCTCAGTGGCACTCTCTTAAGTTCCCACCACAGGCAGCTCCTCCTCCCCTTGCCCTCTTCCTACTTCACTTGTTTCTCTTGCCTGTGCTTTAGGCCTCGAATAGGTCCCCTGGTCTTGCTCAGGGCTTGGGACTACAGACTCCTGCCCTAGTGACTTTCCCCTCTTCACAGTCTGCCAGGGCCTGCCCTGGGGAGGTGGACCAAAGACCCAGGACTTTTCTCAGTAGCCAATCCCACCCAATTGTCTTTTTACCAATTCAAGTTGGGAGAGAGAACTTCCAGCACTCCCCCCAGCATTTGAGCTACTCAAGTGTTAGGGGCCGGAGGGGACAGTGTGTTTAAACAACCCTTAGAGCTCTGGCCATAGACCTTGGCTTCCCTGGTCTAGGGACCTCACTTCTTTGTGGCAGAAATGTGGGGAGTGGGGTCTAGCCCGAGAACAGGAATCAAAGGGAAAACCCATTCACACAACTGCCCCCAAATCTCCCAGCTATCTGCAGGGGGCAGTGACATGCTCTAGCCTTCCTCTGACATGTGCCACTTAGGAAGAATGCCTCCAAAGGGAAGAGGAGACTTGGCTGTCCCCAGCAGGTTGTGCTGAGATCCTTCGGAGGCTGGGGAGGAAACTTCCAGAGGAGCCCTTTCCCCTCCTCAGAGCCATTTTGTGAAGAAGTGGGAACCAAGAACCTTTGCAGGGATGCCGGGTGCTGCTCAGCACACCCGAGCATCAGGTCAGGTCATTGTAATAAAAAAAAATGTGAATGAAGTTTAGATTCACCTTTTGGGGGAGCAGGATAAACTACTGCCCCAAGATACGTGTGTGACTTCTCGATTTCCCACTGCAATTTCCATTTTTTAAATAGGAATTTTCAACCCCCTGTGCTTGTCTAATGTCTGCTCCAAACAGTTCGAGACTCTGTTACTGTTTTAAAGTGCATGCATGTTAAAATGAATCTCCAACCCGAGGAAAAAATAAAACTCAAAAAGTTTTGTGTACACATCTGTTAAGTGTGAGTCTTTTGGAAATGAGCCTTTTATTTTTTTCAGAATTAAAAGGTTTGGTCCCAGTTTCAGAGGCTGCTTGGGCTAAATCAGTGTATGGCGAGTTTGGAGAAAGAATGTGGTCCATGACTGGTCACCCACTTTCAGATGCAGTTAATAAGCAACGGTTAAGAGCACAGGCAGTGGCACCATCTCCCTGTCAGCCGTCCTAGCAGCGCGCACTGAGGAATGGAAAAAGCCACTGCCCTTCACTTCTCCAGCTGTGTAGAACTAACGCTGGCTAGGAGCCACATACTTGTCCCAGCTCTCCCTTGACTAGCTATGTGGCTAACTTGGAACAAGTCACCTCTATGTACCTCAGGTTCTCTATCTAGACTCTAAGCTTAAATTCTTTTTTTTTTTTTCCCCCAAAGCCCCGGTAGATAGCTGTATGTCATAGTTGCACATCCTTCTAGTTCCTGAATGTGGGACGTGGCCTCAGCATGGCCAGAGAAGCGGTGCGTCGGTGCCCGCCTGGGATCCGAACCCTGGCCGCCAGTAACAGAGCGCGCACACTTAACCGCTAAGCCACAGGGCCGGCCCAAGACGCTAAGCTTAAAATCTAGTTCTAAGTGTGGTCCTGGACCAGCAGTATCAGTGGCACCTGGGAATCAGAAATATAAATTCTCAGGTCCTCTGCAGATCTGAGTCAGCAACAAGCCCTCCCCGTGATTCTGACAGAGGCTAAAGTTTGGGAACCACTATGCTATACCAACCTCCCCCTTGCTTATGAGGGCATCTATACAGGTTGACAGCTGGAATCATCTAGGGGAAACTTTAGAAAAGACAGCTGCCCAGGCTGCTTTAAAAGGCCAATTAAATCAGAATCTTGAGGGATGGGATCAAAATATCTGGATTTTAGAAGCTCCCCAGGTGACTGGTGTGCAGCCAAGGTGAAGAAATACCGATCTACGAGGATTTTACCTGTGGGTACCTGGCTAAATTTCTATCTGAAACAATGAAAAAAGATTTAAGAGTTTCCCAGTAGAGTAGAGTGAAAAGGATTCGAGGCTTGGGAGTCAAATGAAGCACTGGTTTACATCTTTGCCCTACCACTTATTTAAGTGGCCCTGAGCAAGTTATTTACCTGCCCTTAAACAAGAATAATGTCAACTACCTTAAGTCACTATGAGGATTAAATTCTAGAATGTGTAAAGCTCTGCATGCAGGGCCTAGCACATGGCAGGCCCTCAACAAGTGATGTGTGGATACCATCCCCGCTGGTGCCTAGTGCATGAGCTCAAGTCAAGACGAGAGCCCGAGGGCGGAGCTACACCCTGAGTAACTGCCCACCTAGGGAGAGAGACCTGTGGTAAAGACTCAAAGCAGCAGGAGTGAAAGAAAAACTGTTTTATTTAAAAAAAAAAAAAGTGGGCTCTGGGAACAGAAGGTTAGTCCATTCGGGCCTTCAGTGTCCTGGTGGTGATTTTGTCCTTCTCACTGCAGAGAGAGAAAGACAAAGCATCTACACCCATCTAGACTGCAGAACACGGCTGTCCTAACTCTAGGTTTGAGTGTTGTGCTCATGTTACATTGATGTTAGCTTGTTTCCTTGGCCTGTGGTAGGGAAGGGGAGAATGGAGACATGGGGAGACTCCAGGGAAGGCTTTCCATAGGTGGAACCATCAAGAGTTGAGATGACTCAGGGCTGGACTGCGAAGCCCTCCAAAGAAGGGAAGGAGCTCCCCAGGCCTAGAGAACAAGTAGCTTAGGAAGGAGGTGTGATGTGTTTCACTCCAATGAACATAAAAGAACCTTGGGGTAGTAAATTCTCTGTATCAGCCCCAATCTTTTTCATGGTAATTAAGCAGGCTGTCCCATAATAAAAGGGTCTAGGGCTGGCCCGGTGGTGCAGTGGTTAAGTGTGTGCGCTCCGCTGTGGCGGCCCGGGGTTCGCAGGTTCGGATCCCGGGCATGGACCAACACACCGCTTGTCAAGCCATGCTGTGGTGGTGTCCCATATCAAGTAGAGGAAGATGGGCACGGATGTTAGCCCAGGGCCAATCTTCCTCTGCAAAAAGAGGAGGATTGGCATTGGATGTTAGCTCAGGGCTGGTCCTCCTCACAAAAAGAAAAAAAAAAAAAAAAGGGTCTAAATGCTTATTCTGGGATGAATAGCAGAAAGCAGTGGGAGGACATCTTCTAGTTCATCCAATCAGGTTCCTGGTGATAGCCCCAAACAAGTTAAGAGGCAAAAGGGGATGGCTGTTAGGGATCTGGCTAGGGGTTGGAAAGTAGTTCCCAGTTCAGTACATCACACACTTGTGGGTTCTACACTGGTAGGAGCTGGGAGAGAGGGGAGCTGCCTAGGATTTCCATCTGTCGGCAGTAGCTCTGCTGTGGCTCATCCTACACAGGTCCCTGAGACTGTGGGGACACTGTTAAGGAAGGAAAGAAATGTCTATTGTGAGCAAGGGGAGGAGACTCAGGGTGATGGAGCCTCACCTGACACAGGCCAGGGAATTCTGGGTAGGCTCCTAGCTGCCACTCAAGGAAGCATGGATTTCTGTTATCCTGTGCCTGCTGCAAGTGCTTTTCTTATTTCACACGTGACCAGGGGGCTGGGAAGATGGGGTGTTTATGGGGGAGGGGAGGGTCAGGTGTCTACAAAGCTTCTAGACTTCTCCCAACTCATACTCACATGATGTGGACGATGACTCCCATGCCCGACACTGCATCCCGGTCCACAGCATTCAGCATGGCTTGCGAGATGGTTTCAAACAGGTGTTCTGGATCCTGCCAACAGAGCAGAAGCCTTTTAATCCCCAGAGCCTTGGACGCTACTTGGTCTGGCTCCTTAACTCTCTTTTCTTTAGGCTCAAGGCCCCCAGCTCTGGCCTCTCCCATGCCTGAAGTGAGGGATGGTTCCCTGGATATGGGAAGCCCCCTCAGCTCCTTCTCAGAAGGAAGGAGGGTTATGTAAGGGGAAGTTCAAGCCCCAAACTTCCTCCACTAACCAGCAGTGTGACCCTGGGCAAGTCACATGTCCCTTCACTAAGCCTCAATTCTTCTTCTGTAAAATGAGAAGAATCCCTACTTGGCTCCTGTGTGCTTTATCAGCTGTCCGATGCACTCTTCTCCTGGGTGTCTCACAGGTACCCATTTCCCCCCAAACCTCTTCCTTCTCCTAGATCCTCTATCTTGGTTGGCTTAGCTAGAAAACTCAGGCATCCTCCATATCTCCACCTCCCTCACTTCTGTTTTTTTGTTTTGTTTTGTTTTATTTTTTTTGGTGAGGAAGATCAGCCCTGAGCTAACATCCATGCCAATCCTCCTCTTTTTGCTGAGGAAGACCTGCTCTGAGCTAACATCTATTGCCAATCCTCCTCCTTTTTTTTTCCCTTTTTCTCCCCAAAGCCCCAGTAGATAGTTGTATGTCATAGCTGCACATCCTTCTAGTTGCTGTATGTGGGACACAGCCTCAGCATGGCCGGACAAGCGGTGCGTCGGTGCGCGCCCGGGATCCGAACCTGGGCCGCCAGTAGCGTAGCGCGCACACTTAACCGCTAAGCCACGGGGCCGGCCCCCTCACTTCTGTTTTAAGTGACCAAGTCCTCTAGACTCTTGGCTGCCCCCTCCCCCATTGCCACTACCTTTGCTCAGGACCTCAGCGCCTCCTGTAGGTGACTACGAAAGCCTATGGCATCTACCCGCAGGCCTACAGTTCCTTATTGCTTTTGACGCCATGCTAAAGAAACAAGTTCAAACTCCTTGGCGTGCATTCAAGGCATTTCAAAAGCTCACCCCAATTTCCCTCTCCATCATCACCTCACCCCACATTCTTTTTTTTTTTTTTAAAGATTTTATTTATTTTATTTTTTGCCCCCAAAGCCCCAGTAGATAGTTGTATGTCATAGCTGCACACCCTTCTAGTTGCTGTATGTGGGACTCGGCCCCAGGATGGACAGAGAAGTGGTGCCTCAATGCGCACCCGGGATCCGAACCCGGGCTGCCAGCATCGCAGCGCGCGCACTTAACCACCAAGCCACAGGGCCGGCCCTCACCCCACATTCTGCCTGCACTCCAGCAGCCACAGCTAGCTCTCTCCAATCACTGAACACACCTGGCCCCTCCTGTATCTTTGCATAGGCTGTTCCTTCTGCCAACTAGGTCCTTTCTTTCCTCTTCTTCCTGGCAAACTGCATTTTAACAGGTATTTGGGTGTCCGTCTTGCTTCATTAGACTGCAGTAAGCCCTTGAAGACAGACTATTTGGTTTCCCCAGAGCCTGGCAGAGCTGGCACCATAGCCAGCCCTCACTGTCAGGCATGGTTCCAATCTTTGCATGTTTTCCTCACACCACTCATAAGGTAGGTTCTACTCTCCCCCACATTTTACAGCCAAGGAAATGGAGGCACACAGAAGTGAAGTGACCTACCCAAGAACATAACTCATTAAATGGTAGGAGGATCCGAGTCTCCAACCAGGACACCTGAAGGTCCCGAGCCCATTCTGTTGAGCTGTCTAACCCTACAACACCTGGTTAAATGTTTGTTCAATGAACAGGTGTGAGAACCCTGTAAACCCAACGTGAGGAATTTGTTGTTGTTGTAGCAAATATCTGACTGGGGTCTGCTAACAGAAGGTGTTCTTCCCTGGAGCCGGCCAATCCGCACCAAGGCCCTGGCAGATGGAGTCTCTGGACACCCTCCCAAGGCTCAAGCAACTGTCGCTTTCTCTCCTACCTGTACCATTCTCCCCATTATCTGCCAGGTAAACACATTTTTCCCTGATGGCCAAGGGGTGGGTACCTCAGAGCCCAGCCCTACTCCATGCCGCCAACTCACCATGTTGGGCTCCCAGAGGGACTCACACATCCCGTACATTTGTTCGGTGCAAGTGCCACTGACCACAAAGTCGTCAGTCACCATGGGGCAGCCGATGAGGTCTAGAGAGCAAATGAAGGGCTTAAAGGTCTTCGGGTCCAACCCTGCAATGACTGGCTCAGTGTAGTAG